GATTTCCTACTTGGGCAAGGCATGAAGATTGACCTCCAGGGAATGATCCTAACCTATGGCGACAGGAAAGTGCCACTTAGGGTTGGTTACGAGAGCCAGTACTGCAGCAGACGGTTAGTCTTGCAGGAAGTGTCGAAGATTCCACCAGAAATGGAAGCGGTTAGTTCGGCGGAGGTTGGCAGTGATGGAGACGAAATGGTTTCATCAGGAGAAGGAAGTGGTTCACCGATACCGGAAAAGCGTGACGGTTCTGACAGCTCAGTGAAGAGGTCGCAACAAGGAAGTGGTCATGGCGAGCCAGTCAGTGTTTCCGGCAGGAGGAAAGCCACTGAACCACGTTGCAATGGTGATACGCCTGTTTAGGCCAACGGCCTAAATTTGTCGCAGCATTTTCGACCAACCCTAATGCTTAACATAACTTCATTGTTATGTCAACTGTCGAACTGTTTACCACTATGTTACTTATGCTAAAATGTCCCTTCGGTAAATATACAGTTCGACAGGCAACAGTAAGAAGAAATTTCAACCGGTCACTTACTTGTTTTCCGAGAGTGAATCCAAGAGGACGTGTTCCAGCCATTGTGTTCCTGAGTCAAATCAAAGGTAACCTGTAAAACCAAATATATACATACATATATTAATACCAATATCGATATTGAATAAACACGAATTTATATTTAATATTAATACAAACGTTTTTGCTTTATTTCTCATTCCAACAAATTTAATCGGCCACGACCTTGCTCAAGCGTTGTGCCGGTTTAACATACTGGTCCTTCGAGCCGGATATTTGCGGCTTATTTTACATCTACTAGACGTCCAAATCGTCTAGGGGGGCCGGTATGTTTAGACGCGACTGCTAACACCAGGCGCCTAAATGCATGCTATGTACTGCTGCATGTGCAAAAATTTCCTTCATTAAATTATTTTTTTATATACATACATGCACACATACTGGTCTCCCCTCTCACTGAGTTATTCACGCCGGTGGCCGGAAATGGAAGCGGCTGTGGAAGCAGTAGGCGCACTTTGAAGTGTCTTGAAAAAGTTGATCGGAAAAAGCGAACAGTTAAGCCGGAAGCCAAGGTTGAGATTGTACATGTCCGGTCAATGAAGTTAGCATCGGCGGAAGAGCGAGATACGAAACGACGGCGGAAGTTTCAGCGTAAGGATCCGGATGAGCAAGATGTGCTAAAGGCAGTGCAGCGCGAAGNTTGAAAAAGTTGATCGGAAAAAGCGAACAGTTAAGCCGGAAGCCAAGGTTGAGATTGTACATGTCCGGTCAATGAAGTTAGCATCGGCGGAAGAGCGAGATACGAA